AATAGAAAACAAATGTTGATTGTTTTGTAATGAATTTGTTCTAGATTGTGTTGGGTCTGAAATTTGTAGAATACAAAACAAATGTTCATTGCTTTGTAATGAAATGGTTCTTCATTGAGAAAACGGAAAATTCAACACAAATCCCTCATGCTATAATCAAGTTCCAGTTCAGTCCCTCTTTAAAAATTTTTCCTCTGCACTCCCTTCCCCTAATTTATCTTTCCATTTCACTCCCCATATATAAACTAAGGTTATTATTATTCATTTATTTTTTTGCCTTTAATTCATTCTTAAGTCTCTCTCTCTCCTCGCTGCTCTCTTCTCTCTCGACACTCCATTGCTCTTCTCTCTCTCTGCTCGTTTTTTCGCCGCCGGTCTCTTCTCTCTTTCTGTTCATTTTTTCATCGACATCGCCATCGCCACCTCTGCGCTCTCTCTCTCTGTTCGTTCATCACCATCGCCCGCCATCTTCGTCTCTATCTTTCTCCGTCACTTCGCCATCTCTGTGAAGAAATGGCCGGCTCCAAAAAGAAGTCTCCATGCAAACCGTCCTCCTCGACACCCACGAAGGCATTACCAAGCTCAAAGGTAAATTCAAATTTTTGGGGTTTGTTCATAATATTAGAGTTTTTATTTTTTTTTTTCAATTTAGGAGTTGAATTTGAAAATTAGGGTTTTTTTTCAATTTAAGGCTTGAATTCGAAATTAGGGTCTTTGTGTTTAATTGAATTTTTTTTGTAAATTTCTTTGAATTCGAAATTATTGAATTTCTGTGAATTAGGGGTTAAATCGAAAATTAGGGTTTCTTTTCAATTTAGGGGTTGAATTTGAGAAGTCTTTGTGTGTAATTGAATTTTTGTGAATTTCTTTGAATTTGAAATTATTAAATTTCTGTGAATTAAGGTTGAGAAAATTAGGGTCTTTTCAATTTAGGGCTTGAATTCGAAATTAGGGTCTTTGTGTGTAAATGAATCTTTGTGAATTTCTGTGAATTCGAAAATTTTTATGTGAAGTCGAAATTAGGGCTTTTCTGTATATGAATTTGTGTGAATTTCTGTTGGTATTTGTTTTTTTTTTTGTTTCTTTTGTTTTCGAAATTAGGGAGCAGAGGGTCTTGTATTGAATGTACTGAATGTATGATGTATTCAATGTTTTGAAACTTGTACATATAACATCTTTTTCCTCACAAATCTCTTTGTTTGTAATAGGGCACGAAATTTAGATGTCGATGTGCCCTTTCGTTCTTTAGAGATATAATGGACAGGACAGTTGCCGTGCTTTCTGACCGGCACAAGGAGGCTCTTCAAAAGAGTCCGTTTTATTTTTTTCTAAATATGCCTGATATAGCGGTGTTACATGGTAGAGTGGAGGCCTTAATTAGCACATACAAGGCAGATGTGAATGCCTTTGTGGTAGGTGATAATGTGTCTCTTATTTTTTACCCCGCCGAGTTCTGTGTAACGATAGGGCTTCGACAGGGCGGTCTAAGCGTAGACTTAGACCTTTCTTTTGATTCGAAAGCCCTATTCGAAGGTTGGGGTCGAGCAGGTCAAAAATTTTTGAAAAGAAAGCATGTAGTAGATTTGTTACAAAAATTTTCTGTTGATGAAAGTCGTATAGACGACTTTATCAGAATGTATAGTTTGTTAGTTTTTAGTTGTATTTTGTTTCCTTGCTCGAGTTACTCGATCCCCAGGTTTGTTTACCCTTACCTGGAGGATGTGAGTCGAATTTGTGAGTACGCATGGGGAGATGCGACTCATAAATTCTTGCTTGCAGCGCTTGTTCGCCACGGTGATTCAACAGACCGAGCTTACTTTGACGGATGTGTGGTTGGGCTGATGGTATGTATATTCAATGTCGTAATACAATAATATTAAATTGTGAGATTGTATAATTTTGACATCATGTGTATGTGTGTAGGCTTGGTTGTACGAACATGTGCCTTCTCTGGGCAAATGTTCGACGCTCGAGGCAATTCCCCGTCTATTTCGATGGACGGGGAGCACAATGCCGTCTACATTTCAAGGGTCTTTACATTCCCTTAAAAAAATAATGAGGCATAAGGTAATTTATATAAACTTATAATATGTGTTTTGTACTTCTTCTTTTTATCTTTTTGGTTAATCGATTTTGTACCTAAATCATTATGATTTTTCTTTGCAGGTGTACTCGATATCGCCTGTTATGGAAGAGCGTGCGTTTGTGGAAGCCCAGGTTTTCCTTTAATTTTTGTCCAGAATTTGTGTTTTAGCATTAGGTACAAGGGACCTTTTAATTTATTTTTTCTTTCTAATTTCTGTTTTCTTTCATGTACAGGGACCTTTTGAGAGCCGGTTGTTTGCCATGGTTTGTCTTGAGAACGACAAACTTAGAAAACAAATTGAATTGTTGGAGTCTCAATGGAGAGAAAGAAAGAATGAAGAAAAAGAAAGAGAGGAAAAAAGTGAGGAAAGTGAGGCTGATGGTGGTGATGGTGTTTGTTTTGCTGAGGAAAAAGAGGAGGAAAAACAGGAGGAAATAGAGGAGGAAAGAGAGGAGGAGGAAAGAGATGAGGAGGAAAAATAGTGCGATGAAAAGGAGGAGGAAAAAGAGTGTGATGAAAAAGAGGGGGAAAAGAAGGAGGAACGATGGGCTCTGATGATTGTTGAGAAAGAACCTGTTGTGG